TAAGAGGACAACGATAACCTTTGCATTTGTTTTGTACGAATAATTCATGAATATATATATATATATATATATATATATATTTGTACGAATAATTCATGAATATATATATATATATATATATATATATATATATATATATATATATATATATAATACAAAGACCGACAATTATTTTAAGACATTTTTATGTTTATACATTCATTTTATCCTCGCTCCTCTGTGCCAAATCAGTTAAAGGCACGTCAGGCTATATGACGTTTCCGTATAGAATACAGGTTCGATTCTGCCGGAGGACGAATATTTTCTATGAAAATTTCTCGGACATTCAGGCCGGTAAATGTTGTGTATTATAAACAGAGCATTTACGTAAAAGATTTGTATGTATAAACATAAAAATATCTTTATATATATATATATATATATATATATATATATATATATATATATATATATATATATATATATCATTCTGTTCACATCTTTTTATTTGTCTATTTAATTCTGTTCACATCTGTCTATCTATCTTTCCATCTATCTTTTTGGGAGTCCTCAAGAGAAGTTGTTTCAGTTAGTTAATAGATTTTTTTGTTTGAGATACTGTAGCACCTGTTCGCGAGGTTCGAAGAAGGATGGTCCTCGCTAGGACCTACAGGCTTCTTTAGCTCGAAGCCATTCTTAACTGTTAATCTGATCAACCTGATTATTTACTAGATATTTTGGAACGAGTGTGACGGTCCGAATGTCACCCATAATAACGTCTCAACATCACGAGGTTCAAGAAGATGACTTCAGTCTTTAGTATCTTCTAGCAATTTGAAGTGTTGTGAGAAGCGCATCCTATTCTATGTTTAATTTCCCTTATCTTCTATATGAATTACAAAGTAAACAAAACGGTTCTAACAATCAAAAAGAAAAGTTAAAATTTGGTGGACGAATAATAAGGAAAGAAGAAGTGGAGAGTTTGACAGCGAAACACATACTCCAAGAAAGAGAAGCAAGAGCAATCATTGTTAATCATGTTCACCATAGTCTATAAATACAGAATACAGCGCAGTACGTCTGTTCAATGAAACAACGTTAAAGATTAACACTCACGCGTCAGACACTCTACTGAATCTGACTATATCGCCAATACCAGCAGCTGTTCCGTAAGTCTTCAGTCTTCGATATCAAAGGCTGGCAGTGTTATTTACCCCCCCCCACCTACGAGGGTTACATGTGGCACAAGCCCGGGATTAACGTGGGATCTCCGAGCCCGTAGGCTCGGCCAAAAATATTCCCTATTCGAACGCGTATAAACGGGTTCAGGGGCAGTCAACCTCCCCGAACGAGACTCTGCCCTTTGGCGGAGTCTCGTCCAGGTTATTAAAGGCTGGCATTGAACATTCAGGAAAAACATGGCCGCCTTTATACACGTCGCATTGAATATTTTGAGCCTTCTGATTGGTTAACCCTTCTATTGGTGAACTTTAAAATGAGTCAGCTCATTTTGGATGGCTCACTAGTACACCAGGGTACCCAAAAATTCCAACAGGCATCGAGCAACTTAGCAGGTGAAAAAGCAAAATTGGCCAAATCGTGTAAAAGGAAAATTGTCCATTTGTTAGATTAAGCTCTGAACCGTTTTGTCTTAGAAATGATTAAAGATATCTTACTGGAATTTCCCGAGGTTTATTATAATACTATTGGATAATACTTTTAGCAAAGAGAATGTATAATTACACTCCAGGCTTAACAGAAGAATCGCGATGAAATCGATCATAAACGAAAATGACATGTTTATCACTAATTAATAATAGCTACAGATCGCAAGCTCATGAAGGCAAATTTAACACCAGTCTTCAAAGAAACTCCCCATCGGCATCTAATATCGTTTTCCCACGTGCCGCCACCTGCGCAGTTCCATGGCGGTAAAAATAGACGTCTTGGACGCAAAGAACTCTGTGATCTCCCAAAAAGATAATTTCCTGAGAATGGAAGCGGTGGTAATCTGTTGTCACATGTTCCCGGGAATAAGGACACATGAACCATTGGATAAAAATCGTCGGTTGGATCCAGTGACTTGACCCAAAGAGTTGTGAGTTCAATACCTCGCTATGGCAGTGGCGACCAAAAACTAAGCGTTTTGAGTTAAAGGGAGATAACTGAGACATCCGAAAGAGACACGTCACGTGGAACTAGAATAGTTTACCCCGGTGGACGAAATAAAATGTTCAGTTCGAAATTCCAATCATCTGAAGAAGGCCGAAGGCATTCGTTGGTCTATTATTCATTTAGAGTCTTTTAAAAGGCACTTAAACAATATATGCGCATTTATACGCCCAGCAGCTGCAAGGTGCCCATAAAAGATTGGTCAAATAGCTCCCTGCGCACGCAACTAGAAAAAACGTTCTTCTTCTCCATGACAACTCAAAGCCGCAAACTGCAAGAATAACTAGATCGTCCTGGGTATGACGTTAAACTGCATCCAACAGCAAGGCCTCTGATCAGGAGGTTTTGAGGAGCGTGGAACCACCTCTTAATTGCTGGTGTTCCCAGGTCCACCTTGACCCGGGGTGGCAGCACCTGTTAGGGTCCCAGCTATGGGCAAATAGTCAACTCCTATTTTTCCAGATCTTACCTACGTCCTGGGTATGACAATAAACTACATCCGCGTCCTGGGTATGACAATAAACTACATCCGCGTCCTGGGTATGGCGATAAACTACATCCAACAGCAAGGCCTCAGATAATGTTTTCGGAAAAATAGTGTTGCCAGCTATACGTTTTTGAAACAATAATGTTGCCAGCTATGCATTTTTGAAACAATAATGTTGCCAGCTATACGTTTTTGAAACCATAATGTTGCCATCTATACGTTTTTGAAACCATAATATTGCCAGCTATAAGTTTTTTGTAAAAAATAATGTTGCCAGCTATACGTTTTTGAAACAATAATGTTGCCATCTATGCGTTTTTGACTTTTAAAGTCACTCAAAATCATTTTCGTCATAAAGTGACCACTAAGGTTGAGATGCCGTTAAACAAAACAATCAACAATCAAATGGAAATTCTTGACTTAAACAAAAAATACCTAAGATTATTTTGCAGTGTGCAAGCAAATAAGCTCCAGCTTGCTAAAAATATCCCATACAAAATAGGCATTTAAAATTCATTTGGCATATATATAAACCGGATTTGGCATTAAATAACCCACAGTCGTTGATATGCCATAAAACCCAAAAGAAAGAAAGAAACAAACAAGAATAACTAGAGATAACTGGTCTGACCGGACATAATCCCCTGACACTGCAACGATCGATTATTAAATTTTTGGATCACTGTAAAACGCCCGGGCGAAACATTTCTCTAATGAAAACCAGATTCAAGAGTTTGCCGAAAAGTTGTTTGCATCAAAACGTGCAGCATGTTACTTAGAAGTATCGAAGATCTGGCTGCTAAGGGGCAACAAGTCACTGTAAATAATGGTGACTATATAATTGAATAAAATGTAAATATACGCATTATCGTTTGAAGAAGAAAGTTAAAAAACAAAAGAGTAATTTCTTTAATACTTCTATTTATGAACACCTGCACACATTGAATATTCATGTTGTTTGTATAAAACTGAACTCACGCACAAACACACCCATATATATATATATATATATATATATATATATATATATATATATATATATATATATAAAAAAGGCTTAAACACTAATATTCCATGGTCATAATTTATTCCATTGGAATCGTAAATACGATCCAATTCATCAGACCTACAAATTCAAACAGAAAAAAACAACTCCGGAAATAATAATAGAATTTAGAGAGAGTGTAAGTATGAGAGTGTGGAACGAATGTTAGAGCTAAAGAGAGGGGTAACAGACGAGAGAAGGTGGGAGATTAAAACGTAACGGAGAGAAGTTTTTGAGAGATGAGTTGAAGAGGTTTAAGTGAGAGAAATATGAATGTTGTCGGATGTCTAGTACATTAAAGATGTAAAACGTACAGGATACATTTCGTTGTGACATACACACACCATAGACGATCTAATCTTAAAGATCAGAAGAAGAGGGATGGAATGAAAAACAAAGAAAAGGGTGTGGGCGAGAGAGATGGGGCAGGAAAACTAAAACTGAAGGGCATTTACTGAAAGGGCCGCTGTGTAATTAAGAAAATTTGACAAAATTAATATCGACTACAGGTTACAATGTATATATTTTATATATTTTGCATATGTATGTGTATATTTACCACTAATATTATATATATATATATATATATATATATATATATATATATATATAGAGAGAGAGAGAGAGAGAGTGATTCAATCAATCAACTAATTAACAATCTTTTTACTTATAAGTAAAAAATTGTTAATTGAATGATTGATATTCTGTCCTTACACTTCAGTGTATATATATATATATATATATATATATATATATATATATATGTGTGTGTGTGTGTGTGTGTGTGTGTGTGTGTGTGTGTGTGTGTGTGTGTGTGTGTGTTAAGTATATAAGAAAATTTTGAAAGCGCTTATATTTACATGGTTCATTGTTCAACGAGTGTCAAGACAAAATGGATTGTATCTCAGCCGATCTTGAAATTTCATTATTATTATTATTATTATTATTATTATTATTATTTCCTTTGATGTGTGTTATATACACAATTCCTTTGTAGTCCCCACCCAGGGGCCTAAGGTCAGTAATGACTTCATAAGATTTTCCACTGATCATCTTTGTAAAAGAAACAAAAAAAAAAATTCACACATATTTTACGTAGAGAAATCTCTTCGTTATATGTAAGATGTACCTGTGAATATAATTTATTTTTAAGGCTATCAGTAATTCAGTATGTGGGCTTAGTAATTTCCAGTTGGCAAGCATTAGTCTTGTGCAGCAAGAAGTAGACCTTCAGTTTCATCTTTCAACTCAGCACTATTTAACCTCTATGTGTACGGGGTTTGTCTACATTAGCTTCTTTGTTACGGTCAGAATATT